CCTTGTACCTGTACCTGTGTAATGATAATAAAGTTGAATCTAATCTAATCTAAATTGATTTTAAATAATTAGTAAAACGGAATTTGTAAAGAAAAAATAATTAAATAGATCCAAAGGACCTATCTGTAACCATGTCTGTTCCAGCAAATATCATCATTAGAATTTCTTTGAGTGTTATGTCTTCAGTACAGGGGCCATAACAGGGGCCAGGACATGATCTAAAGGGACACTGGCCCCTGTTGGCCCTTTTCTAAAACAACCCATGTGTGTTTGCAAAAAAAGAAAGTCTTATCCCCTGAAGTTGAATGTTCAGCATCACACGAACACATTGAAGTTGCAAGCCAAACTTTTCTGAGAATTAATCAAACTCATATTTGAGATATTTTTCATCAGATCAGTTTTTCAACTTTTTTGTATTTTTTTTTTATAATCTTGATGAAATCATAACTTAAAAAAACACAAACCTCTGCACAAACATCCCTGTGTGACATCACAAAGTGCATAGGGCTATAAGTAGATCTGGAGTAGTTTGAAAGAGTCCTAAACGATTTTGCGGAAAATCAAAACAGCAATTTTTTTTAACCATAATTACAATTTTATTTTGATTTTTCTTTGCTCTAACACCAAGCTTTTAGATTTTTAAGCCCAGGCTTTCAGTTTTAGAAAGCTTGCCCACCCAAAGATCATTCTTAGAGGAATTCACTGTAACCAATGTGTGAAAAAGTGTTTACCTTTACTTGTATGCGTGGATGTGCGTGCTAGCTGCAATTATTTCTACCTTAGTGTGTGGCGACAAACCCAATTCAAGCGTTTCACACTGCCACCTAAAGGGCTGCAGGGACTCTTGTTAAATATAGTGTGATTAAAAGTTAGTGCCTCTGTGATTTGAAAATTGTGTTTTGTTAAATTACAATTATATTGAAAATACATTTAATTGCGTATTCCTAGTTTCAATATGACCACCAAAATTATACAATTCCTACAGAACTTGAAAAAGGTACATATTAATGTAATATATAAGCCAACAAAGTGACAAAACGATGCAAACACGCATCTCAAGCCCCTGTCACACCCTGATGATTTAGACCAGCGTGGGCTTGATATATGAAAATTCTGGTATACCTTGGATAAGTTATGGGTACGTTTTGTATTAGTTAGAAGCACGCTGAAATATATTGAAACACGCTGGAACGCGTCAGCATACGGCAAGTATGTCGAAGTTTTTAGCATGCTCAAAATTTCCCGATGTATGCCAGTGTATGCCATACGTTGGCCATAAGTTACAGGTAAGTTATCTGATCACTGACATACTCACAAGTTGTGGCGTCTAGCTTATCCAAAAACCTATGAGTATCTTCTGCATAACTTATGCGTATCTTATCAAAAACACTCCAACGCATATCAACATATTTGACGTGTTCCAGACGAGCTCTGAATGTGTTTCTAACTTACAGCTACTGTATAATGGCGTATTGGCAATGTTTTGTTATAAAAGGAGGTTCACAGAGGGAAACCGTCACTTCTACTCCAGACTTCCTCCCCATCATAGGGTGAGCCAGAAGGTGAGAGTGATGGATCCTCCCTGCGTTCACGCCCACGACCAACAAACTTCCTAGCAGACATGACGCTGAATCTGCTGCCACTGCAAACCTTCTTTATTTTTCTTTATTCTTTTTTTTGTGTGTGTGGGCGGTAAACAGCATCTAGTTTAATATAGTGATCAAAAACATGTTTTTATTGCATCGCTGCCCCTCTCAGGAGCAGCGATGCGCTTGAGGGGAGCAGCTATAACTGATGCTTCATAATGCCCCTAAAATGAAGCACAAGCATTTTTTTACGGGCATTATGCTGCCGTGCGTTATGCATAAGTTAGGCTATCATTGGACATAAGTTCTACACTCGTTATGAATACTCGTTATGAATATTTTGGGCATATGTATATACCCAAAATTGAAAAATACATAGAAAGGTAAGGGTATGTTAGCGTTTTTGGAGACTCTGGGATGTCGGGCGTACGCTGGCTAAATCGACAAGGTGTGACAGGGCCCTAAGGAAGGTTGAGTATAGTCCAATAATAATCCATACATAATAACATGCAGTCCAATAACATCCATGTCTAGAGACTTTCTATGGAAAGAAGTGTACCTTAGAAAAGGATGGAATGTGCAGGGAAAACCTCAAATGCTTTATTTTAATCACAGAATGCAAGAAACAAGATTCTAGATGTTAGATCATCAAACTAAATTAGGACATGGATAACCTGAACCTTTCAATAATTGTCTGGCACAACACTGTTCAACGGAGCTACAATGAAATGGACAGATACTAGAAATTTAAAGAGGGAAAAAATGAAAACCAAAAATAAAGACTGATTCAGACGCACCTAAATATTGAAAAGAATTCAATATTTAGAAATGTTAACAAAGGTCAGATATGAACATTTCTACCTGAAGGCACAAAATACACAACAACACAGTGTAAATAAAAGTTTAAAATACCCTTTGTCTCTAAAATGTTAAATGTGTGTTAAACAGGATCCTAATATTCTCCAACATAATATGCTCTGATACGGTGGTTTAGTTTTACTTACTGATGGAGTGTGGTTTGGAAAAGCAAAGTATCTTTGAAATTAATGGTGTCGCAGCTGCAGGTAAACTTTGAATAATCACAAACTGCTCTGATTTCCAGTTCCAGCTCCGTCTGAGAGCCTTGGACCTGAGAACAGACCGGCTCAGGATCCGTCTCTGGCACCTGCAAGCAAACAGGCAAATTATTCAAAAGCAAAAATAAATAAGAACAACTTTAAAATGATATTTTAGGAAATTACATCAAAAAAGGGAAACTGGTTCAAATAGGAGCTAACATTGAAATATTTTTTGTTTATTTTATTGATAATGGTAAAAAGACATAATGAAAAATCAACAGTCTCTTCCATTTTATTTTGTTAACTAAAAAAGATTCTATAACTACAATATAAAGAAATATTTTTTACAGAAATCTCAGATTTCAGAAACGTTTGTCCAGGTGTAGTACAATAAATGCACACAGTACTTCGTTAGTCAATTTAATTTTACCCTTTTTCTACTTAGATGTTGGACTAATTTCTAAATGAAATGTGAAATTTGTTAGACTCCTGAGCAAATATCAGGTTGTTTATCTCTTTAGACCCAATAAGGGAATTCTTATTTCAATGTCTCTGGCTCTCGAGTGGCTGGGATTGTCGAGGGTTTGTCTTTGGTTGATGGTTGTTGAAGGAAGGAGTCTTGAATGGTCTCCTGGAAATCCACAGTAAAAATTGTGATAATTCAACCTTTTTCTAGCGACAACTTTCTCCCACTGAATTTCCAGCAACTGTCTGCTGCTCATCTGTTTAGTCAGTCATGTTGTTGGACTAGCCATAAAATTAACATTCTGGAGAAGCTCTGGGTTTTAATAGAAGTAATTCACAATCACCCAAATTAGTGATGATGGTCAGACGGCCCTGAGTAAACCTGCCTGGCTTCTGTCAGAGTGTGTTATATACATACAGGACATGTGTGCATGAATGGGTGAATGACTGGAATTGGAAAGGATCTATATAAGCAATACATGTCATCTACAATTTTAACTTTAAACAAGAGCAAAACGATTAAACATTTAAGGTATAGTGGATCATCAAAATAAGT